GTGGCCCGGAGGAGGCGGGGACATGGGCGCGGTGGCGATTTTGGCAGTGGTGGCGACGTGGGGCGGGCGGCCGGAGGAAGGGGACGACCCCAACAGGTGGGGCCCACCTGTCGGCGTCCCGGGGAGAGAGGGAGGCGGGCGGCCGGCTCGCGTGGCTTAGCTGGGCCTCGGCCTTCGGCCGGCCCAGCGGGAGGAGGGGGAGAAAAAGAGGAATGGGCCAGCGGCCCATTCAAAGGAAAAAGAGAAAAGAAAAGAAAGAAAAAGGAAAAAGAAGGAAAAAGGATTTTTCCTGGGATTAAAATTGCATGTGCTCAATTTTAATTGGTTAAAATTATTTCGAGAGCTCTGAAAATTCCACTAAAAATCTTGTTAGCGTATTTCGACATGTAGAACTCAAGAAAAATTCCACACGCCAATTCCGATTATTATTTGCATTAATTTATTAAGGTTTACTCTTGCTTTGCACTGGTATTTTCTTGAGACCATTTAAAACTCCAATTTAGGCTTGGGAAAGAACTTCGGGGTGTGACAAAAGGTCAGCATTTAAAGGGGCACAGTTTCTTCTATCCAACATGTCCCTCTTGTTCAGCCTATCAGAGAAGAGTAGCCAAATGAAAACTTTTATCTTCATCAGACACTTAGTCTTCCAGATCCATCGAAACGGCCTTAGGGGTTGCATGGATGAAAATTTCAACTTATAGAAAGCTTTGGAGGTGTAAGTAGTCATGCCCCATATAAAACTCCAATTGTCCCCATGCTGACTTGCCAAAGACAGATCATCCAACTCCCCTTTAAGCTGCAGGAATTCTGTGTAAGCTTCCTGATTCAGAGGCAACTTAAAGCAATCTTCAAAAGGTTTTGCACAGGTGATAGCCAAAGATTCATCTCTGGTGAAAGCATGGGCACAAAGATTTGGGTATGTGGTGCTCCGAATCTGACCATTCCATAGGTCATCCCAAAACAGAACTGTGGTACCAGAAATAATGTCACACTTTGCTATTCCTCTAAAGTAATCTGAGAGACTGACAATATCCCTCCACCAAAAAGATCCCTTGTTAAAAACTTTATGAGGAACCTTGGTATGATAATAGGAGCTCCAGATTAACTTTACCCAAGGGAGATCAGCCCCCTAATAGAATTTTCCCATGTGCTTGAGAAGGAGAGCAATGTTCTGCAAACCCAAATTAATGATACCTATGCCACCTTTTTCCTTCAGTCTACAGACTTTATGCCAGGTCACCAGAGACTTTCTTTTCGAGCTAGGATCATTCCCTCTCCATAAACAGTTCTTCCTAGCCTTGTCAATTGCTTCAATAACAGTGATTGGTAATTGGAGAGAACACATGTAATATCTAGGGATAGCATATAACACAGAGTTAACAAGGGTCAATCTACCTCCATAAGGCAAAAACATAGAACTGGAGGTGAGTCGTCTCTCAATTCTGTCAACAAGTGGTACAAAATCAATCACTTTAGGTCTTGTAGTCCCCATTAGCAAACCAAGATATGTGAATGGCATTTGCCCCACAGAGCAACCTAACAATCCAGCCAACCAAGATATGTGGACTGTGCAAAAGTATTCAGGAGTGCCTTGAAACAAAAAAGTTCCCTTTGGTCAGCCTTAAGTAAGATAAGTGTATCATCTGCATATTGAACAATTGGAAAACCCTAGTTATCTTGCTCATTGATAGGCTTGGATAACAATCCTAATGAGAAGGCTCTGTTTACTATGGCTTGCAAAAAATCTGCAGCAAGGACAAACAGCAGGGGTGATAGGGGATCACCTTGCCTTACTCCTCTTTTACACATGAATGAGGCACATGGCACACCATTCAAAAGAATAGAAGAACTTGCTCAAGAGAAAATCAAGGAAACCCAATTTAGCCATTTCTGTGGGAAACCCATGTGCTTCATAATCTGAATTATCGCTGAGTGCTCTATGGTATCAAAAGCCTTTTCAAAGTTCTAGCTTAAGCAGAATTATAATCAGAGTAAGCAGAATTTTGTAGTCCTTATTACTCCACAATCTGTACTATAATCAGAGTAAGTTTTTTTTTTGCATTACCTGGTATATTTTTAAGGTGGAGAGCTGAAGGCAATATCTTTGCACTAAGATTTTGGTGGTTCTGTACACTGGATGGCATCTGAAGGTGAGGTTTCTCGTTTTTGGCATGGTTTTCATTTTGTCAGATTTCTCATGTTTGGCATGATTTTTAGGTTGATCTAGAGTTGTTTTATAGGTGTCTCTGGTTCCCCCTCAAAGAATTAAGTATGTTGCACACATTTTAGTTTTCTGAAACCATAGAGGGGTGATATCCAAATTTGAATATATCCATTATGCATGCAGGATCAGTCAAGCTTTTTGAGTTGCAAGGTTATTTTTGCTAATGAAATCATGTCTTCCTTTTCAAGGCTTTTTTAAGGGAACAAAACACATTGCAGACACTGCAGGCTTCTTTGGATATTGGCACTACCAAATTTAGTAGTATAGAATTTGAACTAGTGTTATCCAAATTTGAATATATCCATTATTTTTCTTTGTCTTTGCCTTTGTCAGTTTTTAAAATTTTGCTACATATTAATTAAGCGGAAAAATACCGTGAAACACATATAACTGTGTAACTGTGTTTTTAGTTTAAAAATACCTTCACTAACAACATTTCCTCCCTGAGCTTGCAATAGTTAGTCTCACACCCTTGCGCACCCCCTGAGAATTTAGCCTGTGAGCTAGTAAAATATCCGAAAAGACTAGTAAATTTTGAAAGCAATTAAATCTAGTTTTGTTAGCTTTTTCAGCAATTAGTTTTGCCTTATTGAGTTCTGTTAGTTTTTATTTTGTCAGTTTTGCCACTTGAGATAGAGATATTTGTCACTGGAGGGCCCAGGGGAAGCCTTGCTCTGCGTGCTTCTTTTATGTATCTTGCTAGACTACACATAGTTAGTTAGCTAAAAATGGCACTTGGAATTTATTCATAGAGATGTATGTATATCCTTATATGTATATTTTATGGAGGTTGGCAGTAAGATACATGTATGTATATCATTATCTGTAGATTTTGGGGAGGTTAGATAGCTTTGTTTTGTTCCCTTGTTGTTAGAAAAGGTCTGTTTCTATAGACCTACAGTGCTTTTGTATGCAACTATAGGTATGTTATGTGCTTTTAATGTTCTCACCGATATATACATACAGCTAGTAGAAGCTCTCTCTTTTAGCAAATAAACAGTCTGTAAAGGGGAGGGAGAGGGGCATCAATAATGTGTTTAGCTTTTAAGTTTTGACTAGTGCTATAAGTACTATATGTATTCAGATATAGAAAGTATGTCATACAAGATGATAACAAATTCAGAGATACATGTACTTAGGCCCTGTTTGATTCAGCTTAGGATTATTATAATCTGAATTATTAAGAGTAAGCTGAAACAAACATATACCTTATTATGGTAGATTATTACAATCTATAAGCCAGATTACTATAATCTGGTAATTCATTCTAAAGGTGTTTTTTTAATTATTGGGCGGTTAACAGCTAATAAACAGCTAATAATCCAGATAAATAAATAGCTAACAGCTTATTCTATCTCGGCTTATTATAATCTACTACCGCCATTTCAGGTTATAGGACTTTCTAGCATTGCCCACATTCATATAGATGTTCTATATGAATGTGGGCAATGCTAGAAAGTCCTATAACCTGAAACGGAGGTAGTAGCTTATAGTAATTTGGCTCAATAATCTATATTATAATAATCTTAAACTGAAACAAACATGGCATTAGTTTTGTTAAAACCTTATATAACAGACGTACAAATCTCAGATTCAAAGATCAAAGATGTTAGGCAAATGTAAGTATAACTGTATTTAGTTTTTCTCAAATACCTTGAGTAATATCAACTCCATCATCTTTCCTTTTGCCCGCCTCATACGCCCGTGCGTCTCTCCAAAAATTTAACTCAGCACAAGTGCACAACAGATTTGTCACTTGTCATGGGCTTTTTTTTTTCTTTTTTCTTTTTCTTCTTTTTTCTTTTTTCTTTTTCGGCAACAAAACCCAAAATCTGATCCAACAAATCAATCAGCGGGCATGGTGGTTCATGCAATGCGCAAGTAGCGGGGCGGGATGGGGGACACGTGCTTTGATCGTATGGCCGGAAAAACGGCTGAAAACAACAAAATCAGGTTCGATCTACCTCCCCGCATGTTTTATCTTGCAAAAATCGATTTCCCATTCCTCCATCATTTTTTCCCATGATTTTCACTTTCAATTGAATTTTAATTCGCTGAATTTAATCTCTATTTAAAAGTCGTTGATGATGGCAGATCAACAAGCTTTGCTTCGCTTCAATTTTGCAAAAAAAAAAAAGGGAAAGAGAAGCTTGAGGAAATAAAAAGTCCTCAATCAATTTTGGGAGATCGAGAATGATTCTACCGAATTTGATAGGGAGGATCGGGTCCCGCATTGTACGAGGACGGGACTACCTTTCGGAGATTGAAGACAGCATTGTGCAAGCCATGCTTGTAACTCCACTTGTGGGCTGGGCCGAAGAAAGGTAGGACGAATGGAAGGAGGTAGCGGACTAGGCTAAGGCGGACTAACAAATAAGAAAAGAATGTGCTTTCAGTCTAAAACCAAGGAAAAAATTCATTTACTTTTTTAATTATAATGTTTAGTGATTATAATGTTTTAATTTATTGCTTAGCTCTTAATAATTGGTGTATCATTGAAAAAAATGTATCTACCCATTGCAACGTACGGGTATTTTTTTAGTAAACTGAAAAGTTGATCACATTTCATCTAATTGTCTTCTACTCCCTCCGTCCCAATATGTAACAATATAGTACGAGTTTAGATCCATCCTATGACTGAATTTGGATAGGATGAGTCTAATCCCATCCTAGTTGTTATATATTGGGACGGAGGAAGAAGCTTGTAGTACTCCACTCCACTGGCCAAACCTCGGTTTTGCTTGTGAATCGCAGCAGGCTAGCAGGTAGCAGCACCTGAAGAAAAATATGTTCAGATTTAGCACAAACTGTATGTGTCAACATTTTGTTTGATTGATACAAGCACACTAGAGCTAGGGGCGCGCCGTTGGCGCGCCGCCTGGACGCAAGCAGGGGCAGAAAGTATGAGGAAGTGTCCATAGTACAAATTACACACAGGCATCTTGATATTTAGAGGTCTCTAATAGCAGTAAGTACATATATAGATGTTTCTTCATATTAGGAGGTTCCATGATTACCATGTAAGGCCTAGAACTAATACAGGTTATCTTGACAGTGATCAACCTGGTTGGTGGCAGCAAAAGAATGGCTGCAACATAGCCATGAGTATTGCTATGTTCTTTATAGAACATCGAAGGTGGCTTCCAGGCGAGTTGTTTTGTTGAAATGGAAGGTGCATAGTGATTGTAGGTATATGTGATTGCGGGTTGCAAATTTTGCCCATACTTTCTTCAGGTTGCATCGATCATCCGTTGACATCTGGAGCATCATATTCTTTGAAACACCACCTGCCATTTGAACTCCAATGCTGATGGTTTCCTTGCCGTCCATCAATGGCTTTAAGTAGTCTTTAGAAAATTCTTTCGTAAAGTACTGTAATTGGCATTGTATATCAGCCTTGACTTATAATTGGTAAGATAGATAGCCATGTATGGTGTATATAAATAAATGAGCAGCAGGTGTAGGAACTTACAACTCTATCCTGCTTCATGAATGTGTTATTCACAGCAACAGCATAGAATTTGCTTGAACGGTCTAGGCACTCAAGATCTTCGATATACTTTTTCAAGTCAGCTGTTGGATCAACATTCTTTGCACAGAAACACAGCTCAAGCGTACGCTTAGTGTTGCCTGTATGAAAATACTTCTATTAGTATTTGCATTGTTTGTGAAAGAACTGAATGAGCATTAAAAAGTTGCTGATGGAGAGAGTTTTTGCAGGCTGCAGCTGGTACATTAACATCTACTAGTAATATGCCCGTGCTAAATGCTACGGTGTAATTCTATTTGTCTTTAATAATTTTTAAAATTTTCATGTTAGCAAAAAATATTACTATATGAACGGTACATTTGAGCTTTAATTCAATTTATGTCATGCACAAATATATTTAACATAAAGTATAATAATATGATATGCCAATTCATGCACATATATAATGCATATATATGTGCCCCCGTGTCATAATGCATAATAATATGATATTAATAAGCATCTCCTTCTTACGTTGAAGCTTAGTAGAAGTTGTACTTCCAGCTCTTGCATCTATGCTTATCGAAAAATCAGCAGACAAGGTATATGAATATATGCGATGGGAGTATGTAGAGATCACAAAGAAAGTCCAAAATATATACATGTCACAATACCTGAAGAAATATTAGTTATGTCTCGAAATGGGGCGCGTTCTTCAAACGCCGATCCATTTGGATCCATTCCTATCCGATAAAACATCAATCTACCTTAGTCCACAACAAACATATAATGTGATTTACAAACAAATCACATAACATTTCATCTAATCGAAAATTGCTAGTTGGATATCATGTCACATTTATTTCATTTAGGTACTTTAGCAATATTGTATTACCTAAAAATAAAAATCATTTGTATAAACAAATTTAAGAGTACAATATATCTACATAAAAAATAAATTGTGCATTACACTGATTTCGTGTAGGTAGTAATATAAATTTTAGGGCCCCGCAATGTTATATGGTTGGGAGTCAATGCAAAGAGCATATGCAAGGGAGAAATATCTATAAATGGATCAGCACTAGAGTTTGAATGGATCGAAGAACCCACGTCATGTATGTACTGCCTAAATGAGCTATCTCATCTATCGAAATACAGAGTTCATTAAGGCATTTCACATGGCTGACTATTTAGCCAGACTCTCATCTCTGTCAATTCTCAGAGTACCTGCTATCTTCACAATTGGTTTGATTCCTTATGAGTAAGCTTCATGTTCACTGAAAGTACCTGAGCTGTAAATAGCAAATGTGAAAACATGTAGATATCAATGCACCAGCGATTTATTATGAGCCATGAAGCGTAACAACAGTGATTTTGATATATCAGTACAAATTATTAAAAACATCAGTTAATTTGATATGCCAGTACAAATTATTAAAAACAGTAATTTGATATGCCAGTACAAATTATTAAAAACAGTAAATTATAATTTGAGAAGACGACATCGATTTATATAAATATCCTCCAGGAGCATCACATATGAGCGCATCAGGTTAAGAGTAAATAATCTCAAGCTGTACATTAGGCTCCCTCAGAAGCATCACATATGACATCCGGCAAAACTAAAAGTATATAATTAGCAATCAAGCATAGTTTCAACACATTAACTTAAGTATCGGAGAGTTCAATTAAAAAACCTGATTCAGTGAGCTGAGTACAGAAGCCATCTTTCATAAAATAAGATCCGTAGTTTAATTTCAATTTTCTTGGGTCTAAAACATGCAATTAATTGACCATTCTAAAGCATACAACTTTATTAGGCCTGAAATCATACAATTATCTTTATCAACCTCGTCCAATTCATGGCAAAATTTGGATCAGTGATGAATCTTGATCAATCTAGTCTAAAACTGGGATGAGCAATGAATAATGGTTTGATCATACAAAAATCAGTTCCACTCAACCTTTGCAAATTTTTAGACATCACATACAAAATCAGGGTTGATCATCTTGCGTCAAAGAATAATGGGATGAGAGCACAGAATCAGCATGTATGGATGCACCTTAGCATAGCATAGTGAATCAGTACAGGTTGTGCTTAGGTATTTACTGAAAATACTTAATATTATCAACAATATACATGTTGTTACAAGCATTTCTCTTAGCAATTCAGTGTACCAACTGTAGTTCACATCCTTGTTCATTTCGTTATATCAAACAAATTAAGTAGGTGCGACAAAGATGCTGGTAACAAGTAGAAGATTTATTGATGCAACCAAAATTTAACATTGATACAGTACATGGGTAATGTCAGTAAAATTCAAATGGGGAAGCAATCTACAGGAATTCCCAATGATTCAGTATACTTAATAAATGTTTGAACTTAAACTGTCTTATCAGCAGTTCAGTGTACGCATGTTTTTCTAGCTGTTCAGTCTATAGGGATACCAGCAGTTCAGCATAAGCATGTTTTATTTCCAAATGATTCAACTAAATATTGTGCCTATTTACATTCTGAACTTTAAACTGAGTTATATACAAAATCTGAAATATAAATCATGTGCTGAATCTGAAATAAGTAACACCATCTTATTTTTAGTAAATATCTCCATTATATTTTAGTAAATATCTCCATTATTAGAAGATTTAATTAGTTGCTATAGGATATGTAGTGGTCATTGATATATTAACAGCTTGAAAATTTGTCTGAATTTATATTGATTGCAAAGCAAGAAATTTGTGAACGAAAAAGGAAGTTAACGCTATTTTATAAATTCAGATAAATGACCGATTTGACATGTTCAGAGTAACAGTTTGCTCTAGTTCAATACACTTCATTGGAAAAAAAAGAGCCAATGATCATGAAGACAATAACCAATTTAAAATCTTACTGCTTGCACATAATTTTACAAGGAAAATAAGAGCAATTCTATATTATCAGGAAATGGATTGAATACCAATGGCATTAATATGACACATAAACTGTTGCAAGCTTCAGTTATGATGTCAGTAATAGAAGGAATGAACCTTCAGGATCAGGGCTTTCAGGATGAGCGAGGAAAAACACCGTCTAGGCAACCTTGTTCAAGCACTCCTTAATCTGCATGATCAACAAGTTGTATTTTTTTCTAAGACTTTAGTCCAATTGAGGATAGATCAAGAAGAGGAAGGAGCTCGCATTGTACCAGGGCAGAGAGGACTGCCGACGCTGATCTTGTAGGACTGACTGTGGCGCTCGGAATCATTTGTAATCCTAAGCAAATTAATAAGCTACGTGGATGTGGTTCTTGTAATTTATTTGGAGTAATCAGTTTAATTTAATCACAGACACATTGTGAAATTACACGTTTTTTGGATGCCCTATAGCAAATTTTGCTATCTAGAATAGAAACTGAATGACTGAGACGTGAATCCTAACAGCCCACACAACTCCCTTGTTACGAAGTATTCGGCACATGACATCAGCACAAAGAGAAATCTGCTTGTATGTCCAAGGTACTGTAGGTTCAAAGAAAGAAATTCTTGACTGGATGGCTACAATTTAACCCTTAGCATGGTGCAGTAGAAATGTTTACAGACCATTTAGCGAAGATTGATCCATGCAGGAGACATTTGCACTATTTGTAAGGGGTAATCATGATGGAAGGAAATTACCTTTACCAAACAGAAATTTAGTAGAATCAGCCAAAAATCTCCTTGATTGTGCAGTAAACAATAGCAATTGGCATGGTGTCCAGTCAGCTTTGCTTCGACAATCTGAACTTTTTTTTTCCTACATATTAAATAATTTGATATCAAAGGTTAAGTCAGTTTGCGAGATATAAGTTTTTTTTTAAAAAAAAAGAAGTGTATCATCACTTCAGAGACAACTGTGATAGTTAATCTACATACAAAATTAAGTTTCAGGGACACAGAACTGAGTATGAATGCTTAGCACTTCGATCAGACTCCACAACACACTATACACACTTATGTTGACAGAATTGCATCTCCTATAGGATTTCCAGAAAAAACAGATAAATGAATGTATACCGCCTGCAGATTGGTGTATTCTCACATGATCCTACAGGTAAATCACAGGAGGCCTCTCATCTGCATGACAGAAGAGATAGATTGCTTTTAGTAAGTAAACTGAATAATATTTTTCATGGTTTAGCTGTAAGGAGCAACTTGTCTGCTTTTTTTCATGGTTTTTATAGCTTTGGGCAGTGCAGGACAAAAGAACCTTGGAACCAAAGTACCAAACTTTCATTAGTTAATATAAGCAGTTGATTGAGTTCAACACTCTGAACAGCAAATATTTGACAGGGAGATTAAGGAAGAGGGATAATCACCATCTTTAACAGTAAGTAAATCCAGCCTCCTCGGACTTTGACACAACGGTGCCATCCTCAAACATGGACAAGTTCTGTGCTTCCCCAAATCTGAAACGGAGCTCCCTATACCATTGATGAAATGCGGTTTTGATTTAGTGCAACTCCAAACCTGTACATGAAAACAGTCACAAAGGGGAAACATCAAGCTGCAAAGACCAAACTTCTTTTCAACCATCATAAGCAGAAACAAAATCAAGCAAAAATGGACCAACGAGTTGCCTAGATTAAGAAAGAAAGTACCCCACCGTCCTCTTCCCACCCGATGCCGACCTCATCCGGACATCACCTCGCGCCCGCCTCTCGAGCACCGCACCGTCTTGCATCCTCCACCATGCTTCACCACTCCCTGTACCAGCATCCTCCATGAGAAGCCACCCGGTGGAACCCTGTATAACACTGCCTCTATCTTCTTCTAACCTCCTCCCATCCAATGGGCGACGCAGAAAAAATTGGAAGGGCTATTCTTTCTAGTACAAACCGCAAAAAACTTATCTCAGAAATTGGCGCGCCGTCACCGTGCTCCTCACTGCCACTGCCAGTTCCATGCGCGCGGTCATTGGTGCCGGAGATCCAGGATGCGCTCGACGGCCTTGGATCTCCTCACCACCGAGCTGGACCCCGCCGAGCCAGAGGCCGGATCCAGACGTCGGCGGTCGGCAGCGACGGCGGCAGTGGCGGCGTGAGATGGAGGCGGATGCAGAGGTGGCGCACCCAGCGACGGCGACGGCGTGCCGCGAGGGAAAGACGCTCGGCAACGGCGCAGGCGGAGCGGAGACGGAAACGGAGACGGAGACGGTGGCGGCGGATGGGACAGAGGCGGCAGAGGGCGGAGGGCTAAGGGCGGCTGCTAGGGTCGAGGGAGACTGGGACCTGTGGCGTGGTCGTCGGTGCTCCGACCTCGTCGCCGATGGAGATAGCACCCGCCTTCACCGCCGCTCCGCGACGGCGACGATGTGAGGGGGAGGCGGAGGAGCTCGGAGATGGCGGCGCGACGGCGGCGGCGGAGGCGGAGGTGGAGACGGAGGCGGAGGCGGAGGCGGAGGTGGCGGCGCGAGGGGGAGGCGGTGGCGACGGCGGTGGAGAAAGCGGCGGCAGTGGCGACGCGAGCCGAAGGAGACGACGATGGCGATGGCGCGAGGGGGAGGCGGAGGCGGTAAAAGAATTCACACCACGATGCAGTAGTCCACACTCCACAGACCACAGTAAAAGAACTTAAAAAAAAAGAGTGCAATCATGGAGATCTCCAACGTAAATGCCTCTCGAGGAAACACAGGGCATCTTTTGCTTAACAAAAGAGTACAAAGCAGAGTACTCTGCACAGGCGGAACAGCCGAACAGCCATGCGTTTGCCAGCTCGCTCAGGCCCAAGAGACTGCAACGACTTAAAATTTATTGTAAAACAAGGCTCAACACTGCACCAAGTAGCGTGCGTTGCTTCGTTCTCACAAGACATCATTGACAATAAAATGCTGGAAATCGTGATATCACATACATATTAAACTCCAAAATAAAGTGCCACATAAGGCACATCAAAGCGTGGTACCACCTTACCCACCATTTGATTGACAAGTAACCCAGACAAATGTTGAAATTTGACGAGCAGGTAGGATTGTCAATTTAACTTAAGTCACAGTTTACTGCATCAGGAAGGTTGTGAAGGTCCAGCCAGCCAGTCCATGACTCTGTGCTCCATCACGCACTTACAAGGCTCTTGAGGATTAATGCAATGTTCACCACAATTCGAACAGTCCGTGAACTCCCCAAGCTCAAATTTTGAGTTCCAGATGAAGATGTTCAGCCGAGAAGCTTTTTGGAGCACAGCACTTGATATTGCCGAAGTCTCATAACCAGATATGTCCAAGTACTCAAGCTCCTCTAGGCAATCAAGGAATTTTATTATTGCAGCACAAGACATATCAGAGTTTGGTATCTCAAGCTTCTTCAGACGTGGAAGGGAGTTGCAAATGATTGAAGCCATCTCTTCGTCGACATAAAGAGCAAACACCTTCAACTCCAGAAAATCTGGACAACACTGATGTACATGGCTGAGAACATCGTGATTAATAAGACCCTCATCCACTGCCATGCCTTTAAGAAATTGTAATTTGTCAATTGCCTTACGGAACTGATCATAAGTTATACATGTGGCAGGAAGGCTGAAATAGTGCAGATTTGGATTCCTGCAGAAAAATAACATGAAATACACTTAGTCCATGGTTAACCATAACAATATTTCCATAAATATCTGGAAAATAACTGTTAGCCAATTTGGCCAAAAGTATCCAGACGAAACAAATAGCGCACTGCCACAAATAATTACATACAAATGATACCTAACACAAAATGCCATAAGAGTATTATGAGGAACAGAACACACTGCAAAACCACATGTAATTGAATCTCAATTCAATGTTGGATAGTTTTGGCCTTAAGCCTCATCAAAAATACCATTTATCACATAATTCACAACGTTCTGACAAAAAATATTTGACAAGCATTACTGAATCAGAAATAGCTAGTGAAAAGATGGAAAATTTGACTAATATCGCAATAAAAGGAGTGAGATTTGCTTGGGTCCCAAAAAGGCACGTTCACGTGATAGATTGTTTCTCCAACACTATGAAAGAAAAATTAGGGGCGGTTACCAGCCAGAGGATATAAATTCAAATTTGAAACCGGAACTTTAAATTTGGAAATGTATCAGCCGGTTACCAGTCAAAATTCAATTCTTTTATTAAATTTCTACCCAGTAGCTGGCATAGTTATTGAGACTGGACCGGCAATCTAACCGGCGAAGCCTTTGGTTCAACGGTTCATTGGTCTGACCAATTGAACCCCTGGTCTAAAGCAGTTCAATAATGTTTATATAAACTACTGATTCCATTCAAACATAAGGGCAAGCTTAGCCTGGTGGGAAGGTGCGTGGCTTCCTTGCATGTGCTCCTAGGTTCAATTCCCACCAAAATCCTTTTTTGTCAATTTTCTCCACTCATGTCGCTCATGCATGCACGCGCCCCGCCATAGTTAGCATCAATCGGCGGATCAAGGACTGGTTTTCTAGCTGGTTTTAACGAAAAACCGGACGGTCCATCCAATTTCTGCCGAGTCAATTGCACAGCGATCTTTCATCCGGACCAGACCGGTGGAGGCTCTGGTTTCGGTTTTTTCCGGTCCAACCGCCGGTCCGGTCCGGTCCGGTCTCAATAACTATGGTAGCTTGCAGTCTCCGCAGACCGCAGGTCACCAGATTTCACTGGGAACTGGATCATCTGACATCCAAGAGGCATCTTAGGGTGAAATGTTGCCTACATATATCTACTGTCTAAATTAATCCAATGCCCGGGGTTCATTCACAAAACTTTTTCTTAAAGAAATCATTACTTTTTTCTTAAAGAAATCATTTTGGAGGGAAAATAATAGAGTAATCATTTATGGCACTAAATTGGAAATGTATGAGATGACTTCTCCTAGTTCTTTGTTTGAGCAGATCCGTAGAACACGAGAAAAAAAGAACTACAGGGGGCAGAGAGTATTCGCGCTAACTGCTAACATGCAAAGAGCACAATGCTCCGACATCATTCTAATGGAAATTCAGAGCAAAAAGTTTAGGAAGCTGCTGAATCGGGAAGAGTTGAGACAGGTTGGTTGATTGACCAACCTCTTTCATCGAAGCCACTGCCATCAGAGGAGTCGGGATCATGAGTCCAGATGGTCAGTGGCTCAGTGCAACAGCATGAGGCCTGAGCAATGGCATGCACTGTTCACCAGAGCACTGATGGTGTAACCAGACGGCACATCAGAGTGCACACGCAAGGGAAATGGCATCTTTACGCTGCAGCAAGTTTCACTCTGGCACTAGTAAATGCTATTTGGAAATAGAAGTTGAAAGCTGTACAGTCATTTGCTGATGGTAGGGGAATCATTAAACCAGATGATATCTTAGTAGAAAATGGCCGTTGGATTAATTTTGACAATAGATGTGTAGGCTACACTTGCTTCCATGTGCCTCCTGGACATCAAAGGAGATAGTAACATTTCACTGGGTGGCCAGTAATTCCAGAAATACTGAATAAACTTATTCTGAACTCCGAACCTTGTGGACAGCACATCCCACCTGTATGTAGCGGTGACTGTTATATCAGGATCCTAGGCAGTATTTGTTATCGTCTTTAATATATTACGAATGCAGGATTGTTTCGTAGTAGTCTATCCGCCTCACAATGTCTCTATGTCAATATTAGTGCATTACAGAATTCAAGATGTTATTTCAGTGTTTCCATACTCTCAGTAATTAAACAGTTTGAAAGAGGTAAAGTGGTTATAATAAGGAGAAATACTGTGAAATGGAAGGGCATCATTGTATTTGTAGGATCATGTGAGATTCTCTAAGATCCTACCAATTGTTGTGACCGACGGAAGGAGTCGAACCAACTTCCGTGTCGCTCCCACGGAGCAACCCGGGAGACCAAAAAACTTCGCCACCAAGGATCTCCCACCGGCCGACCCTGCTGCCACCGGCGAGGCTGTCACCGGCGGTGGAGCCGGCAGCGGCGCCACCCCCGCCCTCCTTGTTTCCTCTCCATCATCTCCTTCTCCCCTTCTTTTCCTCCCCTTCTCCTTTGGTTCTTCAGATTCAGTTGCAGTTTTTCAAATCCTAGCCATCACTACGATGCTCTGTATTGGCTGGAGGTGTGGCGCCCTATGGTTGGCTGGCGGCGTGGCTTCCTCCTCCGTACTCCTGGATGGGGCGACATGGCAAGACTCGCCTGGATCTGGCAAGCAGCACAGCGGCGGTGATGCCGACAGAGGTGGCGGCGGCGCCCGAGGTGGCTGAGGGAGGTGGCAGTGGAGGCGGTTGCCAGTCAGCTAGGAGCTCCGGTGGCGGCCGTGGTTGCTGTGGCGGCGAGGACCAGCGTACGTGGTTAGTGGCGGAGTTGGGCAGAGACGGGGGCTAAGCCCTCCATCCCTTCCTCTGTCATCGGCGGAATTGGTGGGCAGCAGAGATGAGGGCTAGTCCCCTGTCCCTTCCTCTGTGACCGATGGCGAGGACTAGCAACGGCGACAGACTTGGTGGGCGATTGCGTTGGATGGAGATAGGGGCTAGTTCTCCATCCCTTCCTCCGTCGCAGGCAACGTTGGTGGGCGGCGGCGGTGGCGCCATCGGGCAGAGACAGGGCTAGTCCTCCATCCCTTCCACGGCACCTATAGCGAGGGTTAGCGACAACGGGCAACAGTGGGGGCTAACCCTTCTCCCTCGATGGCAGGTCAGTTGTTGCACATGGCGACGATGGTATATGGTCAGGTCAGCCACAGTAGATGGAGAAAACCACAGCGGAGACTCTCGGTGACGGCATTCTAGAGGCGGCAGCGTCTAGGCAAGCTCCAGCGCTCGGATCTGACCACAGCCAGGTGAGGATGGGAGGACGGTGGGTGTCAGTGGCTATTGATGTGATGGTCGTTGGCTCGCCTGACGCGGATGAGGGCAGTGGCAACAGAGACTCTCGGCAGCGGTGTCCTACAGGCAGCAGTTGCCAAGCGAGAATCGACGCCAAGGTCTAGCTGCGGTTAGGTGTTTGACGCCGTGAGCTGATGGCAGTAAAGTCAGTTGCATGTTATGCTGGACGGCTTCGCGTTGCTCTAAGAGCGACAGTGAGTTCGACAGTATGCGCAAGATGATGGTGGCGCAGCAGAGCAACTCAGGGTGCAGTAGTGGCGTTCGGAATGCAGTGGCAGCGTAAGGGGTTTTGGACGATGATGGCGGACAACATCAGTTGGCAACAGATGGTGTTGTGATCTGCAAAGACGGAGATGGTGCGGCGATGGGCAGCACGGACTTAGTTCCAATTCTCCTCTTCCACCCTCTCGCACTAAGGTGGAAAGTTTAGGTTGTCGATGAAGGTTTAAGCTAAGTCTTCAAGCTTTTCATTTTTTTTGTGTGTGTGTTTGTGTGTATTCCTTAGTGTGAGGATTGGAGTCTAAGAACTAGTGCATGTTTTGGTTGTGTATATTCTTTATGGATATAGAGGACGGATTAATGAAAATCCATTATCTAAAAAAACATTGTAGGATCATGCACTGAAATCAAACACTTGCTACCACATCCAGACATTGTCGAATTTCCATGCACTAGCTTACATTTCCATTTAGACTTATTTTGAAGAGAACATTTAATTGTAATGTGGCATGGTGGCAGTTCCAAATTGTTATCAGTGCAGACATAGACGTTTTGCCGATTTTTTCTGCTTGCCAAACTTAAGACACAATGAACTCTTATATTAGAGTGTCTATTCCTTAACATAGCTAATAGAGTATTGAACACAACTAACGGGTAGGAAATAGATTTTGAATGCAACAAAATAGCCAATAATGATATGATACAGTTAATAAAGCAAAGGTGTTGTTGCTGGTTCGCTACTTATCCTTGACTTATGACCAGCCAGCCAGCCAGGAATGGCAATCATATATTTGACGGTGGCAAACTATCTTTCAATTTTATTATTATGCCTCGTGAAAATTATAGAGCCATCCTAACTCCATAAATGTAGTAGTTGAACCCCACAAAAGAAAAGCAATTTTTTTTTCATATTGTTTCTAACTAACAGTAAAAGTGATAGATCACATTCTCATGGTTATGAAAAATCTGGTGACTTCACTGCAAATTCTGTGCAAAGTGCAAACACATGTTTAGATATCTGGAGAACCTATCTCATGAACATATTTGGAAAAGCACAATACAACTTAAGTTTAAATATGTTGAAAAATTGAACAGGGAGTCATTTGAATAACTTGTGGGGGAGAAACTGGGTTGGGAACCCTGCAAGCTCTTTGTTAACATATCACAGACAAACAATAGAAAAGTATCATTCCAGGTGTAGTGGGCAAAGTGGTCCATACCACTACGAGCATTTGTCTTGTGACATAGGCTGTTTCTTTAGTTCATTTCCATTACTGGGTAACCAAAAAAGTAACCTGTAGAAATTTTTCTCATATGTTCGTTTAGCAGCCATTCTTTGAAAAAAAAAAGGATATTGTTTTGAAAGAAGGCAGTATGACTAAGATGTCCTGGTATCATAACCTTCCATGCTTGTACATTCCTACCGTTCTGGAAGGTATATTGAAAAGTGAAACAGCAATAGTATACTTGGTGTGGAGAAACTTCCCACCACAAGCAATGGGCTCCTATAGTCCTATACCAAGATCCATGCATGACAAATTGGAAAAGCATTGAATACAGTTTACCGCTCAATGGAAAGGTGTTCTTTTGTTCACAGTACAGTCTGGCCTTTTTCCTGTTTAGGGTGACTGCAATATGGTGAAGCTATTAGCAAAGATATCCTAATAGTCAGGTAGGTTAGAGGATATCTGGGATAATTAGGTCCCAAAAGATGCTCTGGGACATCCTTAATTCAGGGAAAAAAAGAGGATTAATTTCGTTTAAACGTGATATTTCACCATTCAAGTCAGGTGAACCCAATCCATCTAAATTCCAACACTGAAACAACAAAAATGAAATTTTCATCCCATTATGACAATAAGATGAAATTTCCCATGAAAAATGAATAGAACATCTGTTGTGACATCATTCCTTTTAAGGTTGCAAGAATTCAGCATTTCTATCTATCTACAGTACCAAAGGACCACAATGAACTAAGAAAATATCTCTCTTTCAACCAGAAATGAGCGGATTTGGGAGGAATATACACTAATTTCGTTACGGGATCTTCACATCAATCACAAAACATATACTAAAGAGACAGTGAGAAGGAGGCGTTACCTCTGAGCGAGGAAGAGGAGGTGCTCCTCATCGGCGAACTCCGGTAGGAGCAAGGCCTCCATCCGACCGGCCGCCCGCCGCACGACGATCTCCAGCACACTGCAGAGAGCGGCTTGAAGAGGGACACGCCCGCGCCCGGCGGCTGCTGCTTCACCGTCTCCCGCAGCGAGCCGGCGCCGGGCCGAGGTCAGGACGGCCCAGTCGCGGAGGTCAACGCGGCGCCACACGAGCGGGTCGCGCGCCGAGGCCCGCCATGCGGAGCAGGCGCGGGTGGCGCCGCCGGAGAGGAGATCGGGGAGGCCCACCCGGGACATGATCATCACGAGCAGGTCGTGCTGCAGGTCCGCCCATGGCCGGACCGGCGGCGACGACGACGCCATCGACGACGGACGGACGGGTGGACAGCGACAGCGCAGGTATAGGTTTCTTTTTTTTTTTTGAGAGGGGCGCAGCTGTGTTTGCAACCTTCCCAGCACTCTCCCTCATTTTCCGCGCGCATGCTTTTCAAACTGCTAAACGGTGTGATTTTTATAAAAGATTTATATACAAAAATTGCTTAAAAATCAAATTAATCCATTTTTAAAAAAAATTAGGTAATACTTAATTAATCACGCGTGTTTTTGGTGAGGAGGGAATAAGTTCCCGGCCACCACATGCGAACACACCTCAATAAATGAAGATGTGGAAGATGGGCTTAGAGCCCATGGGCAATGGGCCCAATAGAGAATACCACATTAGGAATAAGTCCACTTTTACTCCCTTAAAGTGACCCGATCTAATCTATGACCTTCAACCGCAAAACTGGATAGGACGACTTCCCGAACTATTAAAACCAGTGCAGTTTGACTCCCTCAGCGGTTTTGGAGGGCAGTTTTACTGACGTGGCGCTGATATGGCGGTGTTGACCGGTATTCGTCCCACCGTGGCGCTTATATGTCATTACAATTAAAAAAATATCGGTGGGACCCATTTGTCATTCACACACACAAAGTTATGGGCCCCACTGACATGTGGGACCCACATGTCGTCCTCTCTCTCTTTCTCTTCTTCTTGCTCCCCCTCTCTCCCTTCTCCCTCCCTCTTTCTCTTCACATGTCGATTTAGAGCCAGTCGGCGGCGAGCGCCACCTAGGGCGAGGGCGGGAGCGTCATGGAACCCCACGGCGGCAGCGGCGGGTGAGGGACGTCGACAGCGAAGGCGCTCTATGAGCAGGAGAGGAACTCGAGCGGATCGAGCAGCAGCTCCGGTGGCGTGCGGCGACCCTAGTGGCGCGAGTGGGGAGGGGGTGGAGGAGTGCGGAGGCGGGTCGAGCGATAGCTCCGGCAGCGTGCGGCGACCGCAAGAGCCTCTGCAGGCAGCGCGCCTTGGCCACCTCCGCCACCACCGCATCCCCAAGGTCGAGGCCATTGAGTTCAGGCATGCGGCGACGAGCGCAGCGGCAGCGAATCCCCGAGAGCGGGAGAGGTCGACGGTGGAGATGGACGGCGCGGGCAGAGGGAGAGATCGAGGCGGGAGAGGGCGGGGTAGCGGGCGAGCGTGAAGGAGACGAGGTGGGCGCGGAAGGTGCGACGGAGGCAGCAGTGGCGCGATTCGGTGGCGAGCGGGAGCGGTGGCCGAGGCAGTGGAGATCGAGGCGGGGTGCCGCACCTGCCCTATCACCGGCGAGAGGCTAAGCACCACCGTCGTCCTCCCCAATGCCACGCCAATCCTGAGTCTCCGCCGCTCGCGGGCCGCCACGCCATGCCCGTGTCTCCGCCGCTCGCCGACATCTCAGCTTGCCCGATGCTGCTCCGGCCCTCGCCTACCGCCGCCGTTGCCGCTCCGGCTATTGCTCGCCCACCGCTCCAACTCCCGCCTGCCGTCGTAGCCCCTGCCTACCAATTGTGCCACGAGAAAGAAAGAGAGAGAAGGGAGAGAGAGGGAAGAGGAAGAAGAAGAGAGAGGGAGGATGACATGTGGGCCCACAATATTTTTTATGTGTGAATTACATATGGGCCCCACATATATTTTTTAATTCTAATGCCACGTAAGCACCACGTGGGACGAAGGCTAGGTCAACATCGCCATGTCAGCGCCACATCAGCAAAACCGTCCTCCAAAACACTAAGGAAGTCAAATTGCACTGGTTTCAATAGTTTGGGGAGTCGTCTTATCCGGTTTTGCGGTTGAGGGTTACGGATTAGATTCGGGTCACTTTTAAGGGAGTCAAAGTGGACTTATTCCAAGGCTAAGGAACTATTTTTTTCATTTTTTACTTTTTTTAAGGGCATGTTTAGTTGGCAAAAAAAAATTGTGCCATGCAATGTCACATTGGATATACAGACACACATTTTAACTATTAAACGTTGTTTAATAACAAAACAAATTAAAAATTCCGCCAGGAAACTGCGAGACGAATTTATTAAACCTAATTAATCCGTCATTAGCAAATGTTTACGGTAGCACTACATTATCAAATCATAGCGCAATTAGCCTTAAAAGATTCGTCTCGCAACTTCCTGACAAACTGTGTAATTAGTTTTTTTCTACATTTAGTACTTCATGCATGTGTCCAAATTTGATGTGACAGCGTGAAAAATTTTGTTTGGAACTAAACATGCCCTTATTTTGGTTCCGAAAGCAGAGTTCTTCCGTCTACAGGTACCTCTAGAATGCGACCGACCGCGAGGGTGGGCCACACGCGATCGCATCGCAGGCTTCGTCTAGTCGGCCGGCGCGAGTCTATTGTGTCTATCAGTATCAATGTGTAACTCACACTTGCACGAGGTCTTTTCCTAAGGTCACGAACAGGGGCGGAGCTAGAATAAAATGAGGGGGGTTCCACTCGCTTGCTATACTTTGGTTTGGATCAAATTTAGCTTGATACGGGTGCCTAAGTTTAAATTGACAGGTTATATATATATGGTGAAAATAGATAAACTATAGTTAACAAAATTTATGAACCGGGTTCTGGGCACCCCCCTAATGCATGTGGCTCCGCCCCTGGTCACGAAAGTCTGAATGTTTCAAAAGAAAAATGCATACACGTATAATTTTGTTTTAAAAAATGACATGTGCACACAGGTTCACGAGCACCTTTAATTTTATCTTCTTGATCGAATGCACATATTTTTCTTTCTTTTTTCTATTCGTGTTATATACCCAAATTTCAATGTACAAACTTTCCATTCAAATTTCTTTCTATGTATAAACTTTCTTTGTAGATATTTTCTTGTATATATACTTTATACGTAGATATTTCTTCCATGTATATACTTTCTATGTATATGCATTTGTATGTGTAAAGTTTCAATGTATATAACTACTAGAAAAAATACCCGTGCGTTATAACGGGTGATTGCTATTTTAATTTTATTATTATTATATGGTTTAGTGTTGACAACCAAATTTGGTAATATCGGCATCGAAAAAGAAGATTAGATTGAAGTGGAGTCGAAGGCGGAGATCGGTTCGAGAACAGAGAAAGAATCGGCTGGAGTCCAGATCGGCTACGATTAGGATCGACTGGGTCTGAGTCGGACTAGGTAAGCCGATGCAGCCGATTCCGACAATACGACTTGGTTTATGACATCGGGTTGGATCGAGGTACTTCAAGATGATTGCCGCACATGGATAGAGTCCTGAGAAGGCAATTGTATCTATTAATTAGGATATTTTATGTAATTTCCTTAGAGATATGTTTGGGCAAAAGTCTGCCGTAAAGACTTATGGTATCTTAGAGTTTGTTAGAGATAAGAGTCGTGTCCGATATGGACATTGTTTGTAATTTTCAGGTATAAATAGACCCCGAACCCCATGTAATCAATTAACACACACGTTCAATACAATTTTAGCGCATCGCCTTGCTTTAGTTTTATTTCGACGAGTTCTTGCTTTCGGGTTGAGCTGCATCGGTTTCGATCTTCAACAAGAGGTAAAACTTGTTATAACGGCTTGTGTTCTCGGGATTAGTGCTTCCATCTTTATGATACTCTAATCTTGTTTATGTAATCTGTCGAGTTATCATATATCTTACATAATCTTTGGCAATATCGTTATTTAACCTACAATCGGCTAACATCTGTTGGAAGAGGGCAGTTGATTAGGTTAGACAATGACGTTGATTTATATTATATAAGATATCCACCACTCTATGAAACTTCCAGCGGCTTGATTGTCTAGAAATTGCTCTTCTTTTCATACTTAATGTTGCATCAGTTGAGTTTGATCTATTAAATCGTGCTTAGAATACCAATCTCTAGCCTGCTTCCTGGTTGCCGATTAAGGTAGTGTCGGAGTTTCAGCCGATCTTATCTGATTTAACTATATTTGCTCTATATGCTTTATTAACACGTTAAATCTGCCCTTTATGTTAAGATTTCATTGCATACAAATATATTAAGCTTCTGTTTGGTATATTCTGCCTGTTTTAACATCTTAACATAAAGTCGTATCGGAATATTAGCCGATACATGCTGGATCTATCCGATCGGCTATGCTATAAACATATATAGTCCTGTTATTAATATATATTTCGATCTAAGTGATTTATACTGTCTCGGCATGGCGACCGATCTATCCTAATCACATGATTTAAGTATATATCGATATAAGAACTATACGCTGATTGATTTACATATGACATCGGCTCAAAGATAAATGATATGTCATCGGCATCTAGCCGATCGGCTATCATTTATAGGTTTAATCGCGGTTTCTTTGTCTCTATTCCTTATTGATTGCAGGATCAAATCAACTGGGACACTAGTATACCCGAAGGCGAGTTTTGGACCTGCACTGGAGTTAAGCAGATCTCCCAGGCCTCATGTTTTACGTCAACATTTAGCTAGGATGAAAATCATTATGTGAATTCACTTAGATAGTATTTTTAGAAAATCATTAGCTGTAATTAGGAGTTTAACTTTTACCTCAAGATAGCATGCAAAATTTTTTTAAAGAAATTTCTTATACGACTTCTTTTGTATTTCTAAAAGCAAACGAATTTAAATCCGACTCATACACGGATCTGTATTTCCAAAAAATAAACTTAAAAACCGACTCAAATACGAATGACATATCAAAATACCAATAAAAACATCTTCAATTTTTATTATAGTAGAGATAGGTAGAAAATTTATATATTAAAACTTTAGGGCAATTGCATTCTTACCCCTATTTTGGATTGTAATTGTAATTTTACCCCTTCTTTTTAAGGTTTGTGATTTTGCCCTTGCTTTTTTCAAACGAAGTTTCAATTTGCCCTTACTCTGTTAAGACCAACTAACGGTGTCAAATGAGCTGCAAGAAGACATATATACCCATTACATTTGCTCTCAAATTTGACCAAACTTGACAGATTTTGATAGAGCTTGGATATCACTTTTACAGAAGTTGCACAGGGCGCAAAAAATTCACCAAGGATTCATCGCATTCACAAGAAAAAAAATCTACCAAACAAAATTCTCCCAAATATATACTATGAGATGGGC